TGTCCATGATCCATAGCATACTGAACAAGCACAGCAACTGCCTCCAGCACAAACACATGGTTCTTCGGATCATGATGATAAGTCGCATCAAGGATTCGATCTTCCATTCAAACTCTCCTGTCTTGCTTACAACTTGGATTTGAATTTGAATAAGGGTCCAGGATCAGCAAGGCTGGGGAGGGCAAGCTTTGCGTTGTTGCCTGCCGTCTTTTTGTCAGTGTAGACTCTGTCGCAGATAACAACTTTTCCTTTTGGAACCTTTTCCCGTAGCCCTCCATCTTCTGCAAAGATTTCCTGATCACCCATAGCAACCCTCTTTGGTCTGCTTATCCATACGGTCTTGCGTTGGGGTCAAAACCTTGAAAAGAGCTCTTCCAGATGGTTGTTTGCACAAGTCCCTTTTGCTGTATCTGTTCATTCGTTGAAATGCCATGTCTGCCAATTATCCATCCATGCTTCATGGCCAGCATATTTTCCAGCAAAAACCTGGATCATCTCGCCTTTGAGAGCGTGTAAATCTACCATCTTTTATCTTATGATGATTGTTGCATGGTGTTTTTCCTCCGTCGTACTGGGTATGTGTACTTGTTGACAATGAAACGGAGTTGTTGCGTGTTTTCAACATGAAAGTATTTGAAATTCTCTTGGTCATCGCTAATGCTGAAACAAAGGGTCGGCGTGCCTGCAAGGTAGATTTTGTCGTAATTTGTTGTAGCTTGTCGTAAGTTGTCGTAAATATTTTACGACAAAATTTACGACAAATTTACGACAAAATTTACGACAAAAGGCTTGCCGTTAATTATAACTCCACTGTTTCAGAGAAATAAAACAATGTTTTGCCCCCTAAATAATTCTATGTACCTGTAAATGATGGAGGAATTCGATGGAACAAAGTGGAGCTTGAATTCGATGTCTCCGTGCTGAGGGGGGAGGAAAAGTCTGTCTGTCTCCCGTCACACTTTGGTTTCACTACAATCCGAGGCGTGTCCCAGGAGCGGCCTGAAATGGCAGGCTTGCTGGCAATGTCCTCAGAGATGTCGTGGAGGTTGTCTAGCGGAGATGACAGAGATGACATGCCAGTGACAAACTCTGCGCAATGCAAAGCTTGGGCTTCGTTGAAAACAAGCCTGCCGAAACATTCATTTCCATTCGTGGAGGCTTCGTCCAAATGGACGAACTTCGTCGGACACCTTCGTCCAATGGACGAACTTCGTCGGACTGACAAAACTTCTATAATTAAAAAACTAGCCAATATTATTTTCAAACCTCTTGATCGGATGAATCCAACATCCAGTCGTCCAATTTGTGCGTGTGAGGCAACGACTAGTGAATCTCCCGATCTAACTCCTTTATTGTCTGTAGAGTGCAATTTGGCCCGCCAAAGACATCTCTGGCAACTTCGGCATGCTGTGGACATGCCATATATAACTGATTATTTTGCTTTGAGCCTGTACACGTACCGG